TTTTTGTATGTGGGAAGAGGTGGGGCGGCGCCCCTAGCGCCCCTATGGACCGGCCGCCACTGGCTAAACCTTTGAATACTATTGGGGTTATATCTTCTTAGCAGAGAACCCCAGAGTCAGAACTAAACATGGTAAAGCAGCGTTCAGTTATTATGCTCCAAATATCTGGAACACAATCCCGGAAACCTGCAGGTCCGCTGCAACTCTTACTACTTTTAAATCCAGGCTGAAGACTTTTCTTTTTGCCGCTGCTTTTAATTGAAACTGAGCGGTTGTGTTTCGTTTTTGGTTAATGAACATTTGGGGCTAGTAACCCCAGGGAATCAGTGTCTGGGGATTCTGTCCAGGCTGGTTTTCTCTGTGTATGCTGCTCGGGATGTATGTGCCATACAATCGTACACAGCTCATGTTCGGAGAAACCTTATGAAAGGCATCAGTAAAATGGAACTTCTGTGTGAACTATGAATATCTTAAACTGCACTGTAACTCTTTATTAATGTACTTTTTATTCATGTATTTTTCTTTTAACCTTTTAAGCCCCAAGCCTGTTTTTCAGGTTTCAGGCTTGAAAATGACATTCCCAGAACAAATGACTATATCTTCCCTTCTAAAATGGTTAAATTAATAATCTTTTTTCTCAAAGTAATGATAAACCTGTGAGTTGGATGTTGAAAAGTCAGAATCAATATAGATGTTTTTTATTTTAAAGAAAATTCAGATTGAACATGGTAACTGTAAAACTGTAAATTATAGTGTTCTGACTGATACCTGTGTTTGTCCTCTAACCCCCTCCAGTCTGCTCTGAATGGCAGCGAGAATAATATGGTGGATCTATGGGGCGGTATGTTCTAATGAGCCTTAATGTGACAGAAGCGAATCAACATCTTTGAATTTTGCCACCTGAATGTTGCTAATGTTTTTTTTGTGTAGGTTCTGACATCCATGGCCGTATCTACCATTGAGGTCACCGAGGTCCGGACCTCGGTAATATTTTTCGAGTTGTGTATACAAAACTTGACATCTACAACCTCCCTATTAGAATCAGCTGTTCTTGTAGTGGGTAACACATTTGTGGAACATGCATGTATTGTGACAGTTTGACTTACTTATTTAGGTTCTTTATTTATTTTTTGATAGTCAGTCAGTTTTAGTAAGTCTGTACTGCACAAAGGTGTATACATCTCACTGCAAACCCAACATTGAATGGCATTAGAAAAAATAACACAACTCAAAATTATAATCACAAATAGCAAGTGTATTTTGAATACCCCACAAACAATCTAACAATCCTTCTTCCCACAGTTCAATTTTAAATTCAAAACGTTCCACTTCGGGTTTTCTTCAAAATAAATAAAACCGTCAATTTACCACGGGAGAATGTCAGTCATTTTAGTTAATCCAGTCGGTTTTGGAAATCCAGTCCTGGTTTTCAAGGTGGTTGGGAGATGACCGGCTCCTTTCAGTTTCCCAAATGATGGAAATTGAAGTTTAACAGGACTGTTACGACCGTCGTTTCTCCGTTCCTATTGATTCTGTATTTGACCTGTCTTACTGATATGTGCTGGGTCCAGGCTCAAGGGCCTATGGCACTCTCAACTCTTTCCAGGACATGCCGGGGCCCTGTCTGCCTGTAGCTTTGCCGATATCTGTGTTGATAGGTAATAGATTAAGTGCGGTGAATCAGCTTAGAAAGAGGAAGAGCTCAAACGTTTGTGTGAGTTTATCAAATTTAACAGTGATTCCATGTCAGCCACAGCTTGTCACAAAAAATCTTACTGATAGTGTATTCAACAAACTTAAACTAGCTTTATTAAATGTCAGGTCTATGGCAGGAAAAACATTTTTAATCAATGATTTTATCACTGAGCACAATCTTGATTTTATGTTCTTAACGGAAACTTGGATTGAACAAAATAACAGTGCAGCTGTTCTTATCGAATCAACACCTCCCAACTTTAGTTTTATGAGTCAGGAAAGAATGCATAAGAAAGGGGGTTGAGTTGCTATTTTGTTCAATGATTCCATTCAATGCAGGAAGACATCTTATGGGAACATTGCTTCTTTTGAATATGTGGCCCTTCAGCTGAAATGCTCCTCTCGAGCTCTGTTCCTAAATATCTATAGACCACCCAAATACTGTGCAAGCTTTTTTGATGACTTTACTGAACTGCTGTCTATAGTGTGTATTGACTTTGACCGTCTAGTCATTGTTGGTGATTTTAACATCCATGTTGACAACCCCCAGGACAGAGGGGCTAAAGAACTGTTGTGTGTTCTTGATAGCTATGGACTGACTCAGCATGTGACGGAGCCCACGCACAATAAGGGGCACACTCTGGACTTAATTATCTCAAAGGGACTGAATATCTCTAAGGTTGTGGTGACTGATGTTGCACTCTCTGACTATTCCTGTGTTTTCTTTGAGAGCTCTATTTCTGTTCACAAAAATGTTCAAAAAGAGGTAACCACAAAGCGATATTTATTTTTCAAAAATATTTTTCCTTGCATGGCCTCAGATCTACTTCATATAGTAAACAAGTCTCTTCACTCAGGTATTTTTCCACAGGCCCTGAAAACTGCAGTCATTAAACCGCTCTTAAAAAATAATAATCTAGATGCTTCAATAATGAACAATTACAGGCCCATATCAAGCCTGCCATTTCTAGGTAAAATCATTGAAAAATTTGTTTTTTAAAAGTTGAGTAATTTCTTGCATTTAAATAACTGTGAATAAGAAGATAATGAAAGCCTGAAGATGGGACCTCGACAGTCATAATAATAATAATAAAAACATTTGATTTTACTTTGACTATTTTAAATTCTGCATTGTTTACATCCTGTTTGCTAGGATTTAAATAGGGGCGTTACATTTAAACTTACTTACTTTTAGTTTTTGTCTGCATATCTGACTCCTCAATGTCTCCCTCTGGGACTTATTTAAGCAATGTTCTCAGTCTAAGAAATAGTTCGGGTTATTACTAAACACATAAAGGTTTATACAGTTGTAGACTAAATAGGCAAGGCTATGAATCGCAAGTTATTATAAACTACCCCTGGTGATATCGCAATATCATAATAAAAAATAAACCATTTCATGCAGTAATGATCTATTTTTCTATTTGTTGCACAGATGCTGAAGAAGATCACATCAGAGGAATCTGTGGAGGACAGGTCTGCAGCGGAGTTAGACGCACTGAAACACAGAGACTGGGTGAGAGACAGGGAGGACAATACAGCTGTGTGTTTGATTAAAGAAGGCTATATTGTCTTTTTTACACATGTTAATGTGTGTGTGGTTTGGTTTCCAGGCGCGTCTGTGGGTGCAGCTGATGAAGGACCTCAGGCAGGGGGTGAAGCTGAAGAAGGTTCAGGAGCAGCCCTTCAACCTGCTGCCCACCGAGTTCAGCCTCACACCCTTCGAGATGCTGATGCAGGACATCCAGACACGCAAGTTCCAGCTCCGCAAAGTCATGGTGAGAGACGTGGTCTAAAATATTCAAGCCAACCATAAAGAAGAAGAATGGTAATGCCTGACAGCATTCTCAGTTGAAGAGTAATGGCTGCATGTGTGTGAAATGTCAGCTGTAGAGAAGTAGTGCATTTACACCAAACGCAAAGCTAATTAGCAATGAAACGGCAAATTTGAATGATTTGAATAATCACGTGAGTTGAGATCATTTAACCTGAGCCGGGTTGTGCATGGTGCAGTATCAAAGGAAGCCATAAGTGTTTAGATTCTCTTCTTTCTCATTGACATGCTGACTCAGTTGGATCAGAAATGGAGGAAAACAGCAGCCCTCTGGGCACTGGAGCTGCTGGATTTATGCCTGGATCTTTTAATATCAAGTGGTAAAGGAGCAGTTACAATTTCAGCTTAGCCTAGCCCTGATGCGTTCGCACTCTTTTTAGAAAACAAGAGTTTTATGAGTGGTTTGCTTGTCCTCTTACAGAAGATCTGACAAATAATTCATTTTGAAATCACTTTCGGTATGTAGTTATTTAGGAATCCCTGTAATACATTTGTTCAACCAACCAACAAACAACTCACAGCAAAATCGGTTTACTATTGGTTGAACAAGACTAATCTAGCTGTTGCCAGACTTGCTGAAGGCAGTGAATACATCTCTGTGAAACTCAGTGAGCTTGTAACATGAGGCATACATTCCTTCACGCCCAATGTATACGCAGCATAACAGATGTATGCATATTACATTACATTGCATTTAGCTGACGCTTTTATCCAAAGCGACTTACAATAAGTACATTCGACCAGGAAGATACAACCTTGAAGAAAACAGAATCATATAAGTACATCAGGTTTCATAGAGCCAAACATTTCAAGTGCTACTCAACTGGCTTTAGATAAGCCAGTCCTTTATTAGTATATAAGTGCTTTGTTAGTAATTCTATCGCTCGAAGTGGAGTTGAAAGAGATGAGTTTTCAGTCTGCGCCAGAAGATGTGCAAGCTATCTGCTGTCCTGATGTCAATGGGGATCTCATTCCACTATTTTGGAGCCAGGATAGCAAACCCACGTGTTTTTGCTGATGGGAACTTGGTTCCCCCTCGCAGTGCGGGTGCAGCGAGCCGTTTGGCTGATGCAGAGTGGAGTGCATGTGCTGGGGTGTAAAGTTTAACCATGTCCTGGATGTAGGAAGGGCCAGATCC